AAAATTACCCTCTTTAAGTCTCAGTTTCCTCATCTGTAAAATGGAGATAATTATTTCACCTACTTCCTAACATTGTGGCAAAGAATAAGTTGCAAGTCAAACACTCAGGAAAACAAATGTGACGGCTATTTTTTGGTTATCTGTCTCCCTCACTAGAATATAAGTTCTTTGAGGTCAGAGACCTGTGTGCAGCACGAGCACAGAATCTGGAACATAGCTACTCAATTATGTTGAATACTTGCTGAATAAATGTCAGTTTCCTGTCAAAAGATCTGCAGGAGCTCTCATTTCAACTTCAACAAATTCCCATTCTTCTGCATAGTGTTCTTCAACCTGCACCCACCACCAGCCTTCTCGACTTCTCTCCTGCTACCCCTTAATAACACGTCTAATAAAATTCTCTCCACCTCATCTCCCTTCATCAAATCCTGGGTCCTCCCTTCTCCAAGAAGCTTTCCTGGGCCCACTGGTCAGGTCTTCTTGACACTCCTACTTAACAGCTCTCCCTTCGTTCTTGACTTCCCCAATTCCTTTCTGGCCTCACCTCTCCTCCAGCTCAGATGGTGCAGCTCCAAGGCAAGCTCTGTTCTGCTTCTCCTTTTGTGCCCCCTCCCCACCCCCCATCTCCTTGTCAGACTCAGCCCACACCCAGCCAGGGTCTCTCTGCCTCCTGCTCCTTCCAAAGAGCCACTGCTTTTGGTAATGTTCTCTCCAGAATTACATCCTCACAGTGTTTACCTCCGAGTTCTGAAGCTTCACTATGCCTCACTTAAGGTATTGACATTTCAATTCATGATAAATTATTCAGCAGCTCATTTTCAGCCAAATTCCTCTTTTCTTCAGGGCCGGTTCTCCTCCAGCCACCATCTCAAGGCAGCCTTTAAGTCTAATGACGTGTTTACAATTCACGCTCTGCCAGATATTAAAGCAATGCAATGCACTTGGGGATGATAAAGCGTTACTTAGAATTGTCAGCAGAGGGACAGGCCCAAGAAGAGTGCCCGTCTGTTTTTATACAAAACAAAGATCTCTGTCTCCACTACAAAGGATCCACATGCAGACAGTGGCAGAGTGATTCCGGTTCAAAGGCAGGGCTTTTGCTGGAACTTTCCAAGCCTCGCTAAAGAGCAGCCTGACAGCTGATGGGCACAGCCAGCCCTGGTTCCAGTCAGCCCTAGACAGAATGAAAGGCGTGAGGATTTTCAGCCTCCATGATGACATCAGGTTGTCTGTTGAATTAAAAAAAAGAAAAATGAAACCAGAAATATTTTGTGATTGGGACATCTGAGAAAGTGAGCAAACAAGAAGCAGCAGAGAACGCTTACCCTTCTCATTGACACTTTTAGGTGGTACCACCTCATCCCCTCAAAGGACCACCACAAGCCCCTGTCCCTGCCCTTTCTGACTAATGATCTTGCAGCCCCGCACAAGCTCCTCTCCCTTCTTTATGTTCCTGCTCACAGTACTTCAGCTCCTCCTCCTCCACATTAACCCTGCACTTCCCAGGCCCCCAGTGGAGACCCCATTTCTACCACAGCCTCCTAAACTGCCTGTGTCAGATCAGAGGCCCTCCTGACACGACCGTCAATTCAGGGCCATCAGACACATTAAGGTGTGATTTACATAGTCAGTAATGGGGGTAAGAAGAGTTAGGGGATTCCACTATTGAGAGTCATAGGAAGGGAAGGAGGATTCTCCTTGTCTTAGATGTTGCTGATATCTATAACTTCAATTTCTTCAAGTATTTTTGATCAATTAAGGTTTATTCTGACTACTATCAAGGGATTGATCCTGAGAAGACCAGAGTGGAGAGGGCATACATACACGATAGGGCAAGTGACAGGGCTTCCTTGGATCTCATCAAAACCGAGATGGTGCTCCTGGAGGCACTACAGAAGAAATACAAACAGTCAAAACAATAACAAAACAAGGAAGGCAGCAGTGCAGTGGCCAGGAAAAAAAAAAAAATTAAGTGAGTCAGCATGATGGCCATTTTTGTTCTGCCACCAAATCCTGTCTTTCTCTCTTTGTTCATCTCTCTTTCACTGAACACGGAAATACTACAAAGCCTGATGAACAGGACACTGTCCCAGAGACATCTGCTATCTCCTTCCTACCCACACTCTCCTCTTAGAGAAACTGTCAGCCCTGGCAGGGGCAGTGCTATGCATTTTGCCACCTGCTTCTCCCACCACCCTGAGTCTCGGTCCTGGCGAAGCTGATAGGACAGGAAATGGAAGCCTCTCAGCCAGAAGCTAGCCCAGGAATTTGTGACTGAGACACAAATGACTAAATCTGTTAGCAGTGGGGAGGAAAGGAAGACAGTGGTACAGAGCAGGGAGGTAAGACCACCATTTTAGGGCAGCCATGGTGGACTATATGCAAGTACATGGGTAAACAGAGAAGCCAAGAAACCAGTTGAAGAGAGAAGAAAAAAGGAGAAATGCTGAGGGAAGGCAGAAACAGAAAGTCATGTGAGAGAAAGAAAGAGAGACACACAGAAACAGAGAGTTCTCTACAGTCCCACAGTTGCATTTCATGAGATTGCCCTACCGCAGTTGAGTTCCAGTGAATGGGCATCCTTGCCATCAGAAGATCCCTGACTTACATAGACTTTGAATTCCTACCTCCATGTTACTCACAAGCTCACTAAAGAAATAATTCATCCGGCAATGCAAGGTAAAATAACTAACTAATGAGCAGCTACTAAGTGCCAGAGTGCTGGCAAGCTATGGATCAGAACACACCGGTTCTAAACACGCTTGGTGCTGCTGTCCTTGCAATAGTGAGTTCTCATGAGATCCATTTGTTTAAAAGCATGTGGCACTTCTCCCCCACTCTCTCCCTTGCTCCCACTCTTGCCGTGTGATGTACCTGCTCCCATTTTGCCTTCTGCCATGAGTAAAAGCTCCCTGAGGCCTCTCCAGAAGCTGAGCAGACATCAGCACCACGTTTGTGTAGCCTGTTGAACTGTGAGTCAAGTAAACCTCTTTTCTTTATAAATTAACCAGTCTCAGGTATTTTCTTATAGCAACACAAGAACTGCCTAACACAAAGGCCCTATAACTAGAAAGTAGCAGAACCTGGGTGGGAACCTGGTGAGGCTCACTGCAAAAGCCACATTCCTCCCAGTGCCCGTACTGCCCCTCCAGGGACAAATAGAGATGTGTGTGTGTGTGTGTGTGTGTGTTCACAATGAATGACAAACAATGGAGCAGGAGTGCAGAAACGTTACATATGGTGCTCTATATGGATAGACCTGCCCAATAAATTGTCTTGCTCCGAATGCCCATTGAGAAACTCTAGAAGAAGAGAAACTTACGAGTCATTCTAGAAACTCTTTTCTTTCATCATGACCCACCCCTCAACACACACATACTAAGTCTGAAAGTCCTGTGGTTTCCTCCCTAGCACTAAGTCCAGGTCTGACCATTTCTTCTTTTGACCATGTGCTGTTTGTCTTTGGCTTCCTGGCACCTAACACTGTGTTTGGAGCAGACTGGGTGATTGCTAATGTTTATTGAACCCAATGGAACTGCTTAATCCTGTGGGATAAATGCTCCCTGTACAATGCCCTTGCCTTGAATGAAAACAGTTGATGCCCTCCTTACTTGTGATCTCAATATGAACATTTCCCCTAGGTCCCTGCAAAGTTGGTGATTGCTGCTTGGTTTCCTCACTCCATTAGGGGCACCACGCTTCATCATCAGTTGCTGTTCTCTTCAAAAACTCTTTATGTTGCCCAGCATCCTTTGGGTAATCAGAACAAATATAATATCTTTACTGCATCTATTTGTCACTTGGAATGCATGGGGAGCCTTCACGGAAAATTTCCTCAGGTTCACATTTCCTTTCAGAACCGGTCTGTTCTTCATCTACATTTAACTCTTGAGTCACCATTCTCTCTCTCTCTCTCTCTCTCTCACATACACACACACACACACACACACACACACACACACACCCCGCATTCAGAGCAAAAATGGGAGGAGCCTTGGACTGAGACCAAAGAAAACCTCCATTCTGGCCTACATTTTGATATTATCTTACCTTAAATAAGTAAATTGACCTCAGTTTTCTTCATTTATGAAATAAGAGAGCTAATTTAGTAGTTTCCAAATCAGTTTTCATGGAGCCTAAGAGTTCTTTGCAGGTACCTAGGGATAACACTGGGCATGAGTGACAGCTGTCTCACACACACACACAATGCTAGTCAACAGTGGTGTTCACTAAATATTTTCAGTAGGAAATAGCTTCTGGGCATACGGTAGGCTTGTACTTCTTGGCCTCTTTGTGGTTATGTAGGGCCATGTGACTAATGCTGACCAAGGCAACCTGGATAGAAGTACTCTCTGTCACTTTTAAACTGGAGCATTTAATTGCCAATGCAACATTTGTCAGAGTTGTACTTTTCTTTCGTCATGGTAACCATCAGTGATCAAAACGAGGGCTGCTCCCTCAGCTTGGGACCTGAAGCAAGGAACTGTAGAGTTGACCAAGTCCATCCATGATAGACATATAGCATGAACCAGAAGAGCCTTTGTTGTTACAATAGCTGATAACATGTTTGGATTGTTTGTTACTGCACATAACCTAGCGTATCCTAATTAACAGATTCTCTCTGTCTCGCTCATTCACCCCAACCAGAGCAACTCTGTATTTGTTTTACATGTTAGCTTTCTGCATAAGATTTTGTTTCATAGAAGAATCCAAGAGCTTAAAATAATTTGAAACTCTCAATCAATGTGATTTTGGAGGCCCCTTCCAGTCAGAAATCTATGATTCTATACAGATCCTTCCAGCACTCCAGCTATCCTCGCTATCATCTTTACATATTTTGACTTTATTTCCTCTCCATAGGCTTCTGTTAATTTGATAATTATCTCTCACAGAGATTTACTTTCACAAGCAATTTTATGTCAATTTTTGGATCTCAGAATGATGACCCACTTTTTCTTCACCACATGTACTTTCACTTATCACAATCAGAACAGACTTACCTGCCAAAGTTGACAGCTCCACTCTGACAATGTGGAGACTTGTTGCGAGCTGTCCCCATACCGTCTCTGTTTCCCTGAGATGCAAATGAAAATATGCACCTTTACTTTAGAATTATAGCTAGTCTGAGTGTTTTAGTCAACCAGTATCCCCCACTGTGCCTGCTCAAAGGTCTATATAAGAAAGATTTCTAATAAACTTACTGATTTTTTAATATAGTAAATACACATAATATCAATGTTCCTTTAATAGTCTGGTGGCTTCTGAAATCTCCCTTTTTCAAGAACCAGCTAGACCAGAAGGGTTGCTATGGATAGCTTAAATAAGATACCAACTGAAACCTGGGAGATAAATCAGTAGTTATCAAATTTTCTTGTATCTAATAAT